ATAAGCTAATACCCTTTTAGTAGCAGAACCAATGTGTATACCACTTCATATGACATAACCTGCCAGTGCATGTTGGATTAGGAATTTACTGTATCCAGTGAAATATTGTATTGCATGTGAGAGAGAAAGGTTGTTTCAATCTGACTATTCATGGTGTATGCTGAAAACGACATTTCTTTGGTTCATGTTACTTCCAGGTAATACTGCACTCCCAAGTGAAGGCCACATTGACTGTTTACGATGCTTGGCTTGATCTTCTAGATGGATTTGTTCAAGCTGGACAAGGTGATGGAAGACCAATTTCTAGCTTTTTTCCACTTGCCATATCTCCAACTTCAAGAGCGGGACTGCTGTTCAGTGTAAGCATGGGGAAGAGAATTGCTGAAGGTATGGACTTCCTTTTTTTGGATAGTACGAGGGTATAACGCTGTAGGTTTCCGCTTCTGTAATTCATGACTTGTTTATTCACATTAAAATGTCAAACACTAGGGATGTGCATCATTCTCATAATCTTATCATTAACACCCTACAGTTGATAACCACTCAGAAAAGCAATGTACCCTCTCACATTATTGCCTTGTATTTATGACAAGTTATCTACTCTCTTGCTTTACAGATGAAAATAAGGCACAACCAGATAGCATATTAAACATCAGATATGGAATTGCTGGTGATAGGACCATTGGGGCACACCCACCTGTGGCTGTGAAATCCAATGAAACTGAGGGTACTAGTAAGGATTTAATCTTCAGGAGTACTCTAGTTTTGCAGCAGCCTGTCCTTGACCCATGTCTGGCTGTTGGGTTTCTACCTCTTCCTTCTGATGGTCTTCGAGTTGGGCAACTTGTTACCATGAAATGGAGAGTTGAAAGGTTGAAAGACATTGAGGAGAAGAGAGTTCCTCAAGACAATGTAAGTTGAAATAATCCTATTCTTCACCAAAAAATGAGTACAAGTATTTAAGTATAAGGATGCACCCATGTCTGTAGATGATGTGAGTTAAATTTTGGCATTATTACTTATAACAAAAGGCCTATATTTGTATTTTCATCATTTTTCTTTCCAGTTCCCATTACGTAGGGATGTTTTATATTTCTCATCTGTAAAGAAGCTATTAGTGACCACTGTACAACTCTTCTACTTTTTTGCCTATTCAGCTACCATAAATTATGTCTATTGCTTTTGACAGGATGAGATGTTGTATGAAGTCAATGCAAATTCTGAGAATTGGATGATTGCTGGGAGGAAAAGAGGGCATGTTTCTCTCTCCACAAAGCAAGGTTTACAAACTGCTTGCCTATTTCCTTCTTAATGATAATTCCTGATGGCTTTGTAGCTAAAGAAAAAGAATTCATATTTTCCTTAGTACGTAATTACCATTTTTTTCCAATACAGGTTCAAGGATAGTTATTTCCGTATTATGCATGCCAATTATTGCTGGTTACGTCCACCCCCCTCACCTCAGACTACCGGATATTGATGAGGCAAATATAAGCTGCTGTCCTGCTGGACCTCACCTGGTTTGCATCTTGCCTCCTGCTCCAAGTTCATCATTCTGCATTCCAGCGTGATGGTCTTGGCTTCTCCTCGTATTAATCTTCTCTGGTCATATTTTTCCACTCTTGCCAAGTAGATTCCATTCAATGAAAATTTAACAGTCAGATGAATTCAGGCATCCAATTTTGGTTTCTCGCGACATTTGTATATTTGCAACATTGTTTCCCCTTGCATTGTTGAAAAAAATCAAGAAAACTTAATTTGATTTAGATTAGAATAGACTGTTCCTTCACTGCTTTCACCGGTTGTGTAATGTCTTGGCTCATGTACAGAAGAATTGTGTATTACAACACACAGTATGCGGACCAATGTGATTCAATTAGATTGGACCATTTTTTGGATAACTTAAAAAGAAGTGATGATTCAAACTTCAGTTGAAGACTCTAATATCAGTCTTTACATCTGAGATCCGTTTTTTCATGATTTAAAGAAGTACAGCCTATCTTATCAATGGTCATGACCAGTTACCTCAGATTCAATATATAACTGAATGTTCAAATAAGCATTAGAGTCTCTTATTTTTCTTGTAATACATACATAAAATTGCAGGACAAACAGTTGACAAGAAAGTCAGAATAGTAAATGGCTTAAATCGGGGCATGAAAGTAATCAATTTAATCCAATTAGCAAAGCAAACATCCATGCAACTAAGGACAAAACTTGTCTTACTGGTATAAAAGTAGAATAGAGAGAGCCAAGCATAACTCAATAATTGATGCATGATTTCTTACTAAAAAATAAGATTCAAACCCTAAAAAAGGATGCCAACAAAGTCAAAATCAGTCAAAATCAAACATGCTAGACCAAAAGTTAAAACAAGGGTCGCTACTTGATGTTGGACTCTTCTAGGACCATTTTGCAATAGATTTTTTTTTTTTTTTACATTTCTTCAGTTAGTTTTTTTTTTTTTTTGTTTTAGGTACAGGAATTTGATTCTTCTTTAACATGTTTCCTCACCTAGAAGAGATTCATTTTTATCATTGCCAAATGGCAAGACTACTATTTTTTGAACCTTTAAAGCTGAAGAGATCAGATGGACTCAATTGTCTTGCATTGAGTTTTGGTTTGGGCAAGAGAACTGATGGTGAAAAATTCGGATTACATTCTTCCACCAAGTTAGAGACTGTGCTGCAATATGTGAAAGTTTTTCAGCTTTGGAGATTTAATTGAACGACATGTTATCAAGATGGTCTATTCCTTTTTGCTAGTTGGAAATTTATCTGATGTTATATTTTCCTTCCAGTATTAAGCTACCCTCACTATTGAGAGCAAAAAATATTGGTTAAAGAAAGATTTAATAACAGAATTTTTATTCTCAGGCTGATTCTTCATGTATTAATTTGTACTTTTCTCTGGCCTCCCTGTTTGCCTAAGTAGTTTAGTTAAAGATTAGTGTAATTTTCGATTTAAAACATTCGAATATTTGGTTTAGTGATACGTATATACATTTTTTAATTTAAAAAAAAAATTAATTCGAATCCCTTTTTTTTAATAAAAAGATTTTAAAATTCGGGGTATGAGTTAAACTTGTGGGTTTTTCATCATATATAATTTACACTTTACACCCCAATCACAATATCCACATTAAGTCTAGATTGATTAATGGTCCAGCATTGCTTAATTCTGGCAAATTTTAACTTGTTCATAGAAGCATCAAAATATTAAGTCTCAAAGCCCATGTTGTGTCCAATAAAAAGATTATTAAATAAAATCTAAAACCTTTTAAAGGTTAATTGATAGATTTGTTTAGTATTTTAACCAGAATGTATATATTTTTTAAAAGTATTCTTAAAACACTTCTTAAACATTTACCTTCCCAAAAACATAGAACTCAAGAAAAACATTGAGGTTTCCAGTAAGAAGGAATGCATTTATAACATGTTAATTAATGAAGGTTAAACAAATATTGGTGCAAATGGGACTTGGCTAATGACATTATGAAGAAACTTAGACACATGGGGAAGTTAAATGTTTGAGAACAGGACAAATGAACATTAATGCAAGAAGTATGGTGAGTATCGTTTTGATGATTGAACCTCTAACTGTTCAGTCGTTTTCTGCACTAATTACGCGGTGGGAGTGAATCCAAATGCGCCCTTAAACAATAGTCTGATGAAGCTGAAACCAACACATGCTGCCATTAATATGTTTCTGGTTTTGGCGATGCAATAAAAAAAAAAAAAATTCATCTTAGATTATTCTTGAAGAAAGTTTTATGCAGCATTTGAGCTTGGATCACTGCTTTTTAGCTCATCATCTTTCCTCTTACTTTGATGTAAAGAATTGCAACATCTAATTACTAGAAAAGAATGTTGACTAAGAATGAGTGACTGCATATATGTTTTTTACCATTGTCTATGAGTTTTCTTCAATGATTTATTCTCTTTTTATTCGTCACGAATCAGCTCCAAATTTACAATATTACACTGTTAAAATATGGACAGAAAACATGATGAATTTGAAACAAATAATAAATATAAAATTCAAATTTCAGAATCTGTAATTTTCTTTTATTTTTAGATTATGACTTCTTTTTATAAAAAAAAAAAATCAAAATTTGTAGTTAAGAATGAAAATGAAACAATTCGAAAAGATGATGAACTAATGATGCAATTTTCACTAAATTTGTACAAAGATATTCAACTAACTAATGTCCAATTTCAACCGGTGGTAGAAGAACACATTAGTAACTAACCATCTTGTGTTGTTAAAACACGTTATTATGTTTACGTGTAAGATTTAAATATGAGAATATTAATTATCCTTCACAATCTTTTAATTTGTATTAAGAAATGATTGAGCAAAATCAGACAATATTCATGTGGTGCATTTAAGGGAAATGGGGAATACCCAATTTATGAAGGTTGTTAAATTACAAGTTTGAAGTGGGGAAAAATCAACAGTGGCAAGTGCTCAATTTGATAGAAACCAAGTGCCAAGAATTTTCAAATTTGGAGAAGAGACATTTTGATCCAAAACCTAACTAAATTCCACTAAGTAGAACATGTTTCATCATCAATGATTTAAAAGACAGAAATCTGACAACCCCCAACCCTACACCAATCCCATCAGCTCACACCCTCCACAAACTCCCATCCCACCATTGGCCATCTTTATCCTCTCAAATTCACCTCCATCGCTTCATTTTTTGGTGTAGCTCACATGGGAGCAAGCAATGGAATTGCAAAAGAAATAACCACATCGTTACTGCTTCAGAATCCCAATCACCCCTTTCCTCCTTTTTAATTTAAAAAACTGTTTTTTAAATAAAAAATCAAACAAACGAGTATAAAATATATTCGGTATTTGATGTATAATTTAAATTATAGTATAATAATTTTTATATTTTATACATTTTTAATAAAATAAACATAATATGAATATATATATATATATATTATTAAATTTAAAAGAGATAGAATAGCCAAGATTGCGGTGTAAATCATGAGAAGAAACATCTAACAAAACTTATTTATTATTCACAAAAAGTTTTGCTTCAAACTACATAAATATAGCTATCAATTCTCAAATTGATAACCATATTATAGATATTACATAATTTAAGTATAATTTCAACAAAAACATCTGGTTTGGCTTCGTCTCCCCAGATTTTAAAAAAAAAAAAAAAAAAAGGTAATTTACTCTCAATTTTATGTATAATTTTCATTTTTAATCCCTTTTTTTTCAAGCATCATCTTCATGATTTTAAGTATAACTTCACTTTCCTTTTTTCCCATAACTAAAATCAAATTTTATATTTCCACGTCAGCATCTCCAATCCAACCGGACCTCATCGGGACCCACAAAATGCTGACTAGGCTTCCGAAACGATACCATGTGGCTGCGGGCCATGAAGGCAGTTACCCGCTTAGAAACCCTAATGTCCTCCATCTTTAATTCTTGTAACCGCCGCACGTATTCCGGCACGTGGAGGAGGTCCCACACGACCCCGACACCACCGGGCTTCAAGACCCTCACCATCTCCCCCAGCACCCTCATCCTCTCCGCCGCAGCCTCCACCGTGCGTTGACCGTATTCTTTTCCTACTGTGTGCACAAACACAGCTGATACCACCACATCAAAATAGTTATCCCCAAATGGGAGACTCCTTACATCACCTTCCCTGCACGTCACATACTCTCCCACACCTGTTTCAATAACAAATTAGAAATTTCAGTTGCAAAATCTTGAAGAAATTGATTAGAAAATTATGGATCAATGATCACTAACAAAAAAACAATTTCATCATTTGGAAATTAAATTGAAAAGAGATGTACTGAAGAAAAAAATAAGAGTCGCAGACCTTCCACGTTGGCGGTTCGCAGCGTAGACAAAGTAGTTCGTTTAGAGCGATCCAGCCCGACAACACGACCCGAACTCCCAGTTTTCTTCAGCTGAGTCGCCACCGCATTGAGCAGAATCCCTCTCCCACACCCGATATCCAGCGCCAGCTTCACCGTCGACCAATCATTAACCGACCCCACCATCCGCTGCGCCATGTCGTAATGCAACGGTCCAGCGGAGTAAAAAAAGTTGGCCGCTGCAAAAAACAAGCAAACAGCAGATATCGCTGTGACGGCGCCGCTGAACCCGGCGGCGAAACGGGCTGCGCCAGGACTGGAAAGAAAAGTTTGGAAGAAGTGAAAGATGGCGTCGAAGTAGAAGAGGAAGAGAATTGAAAGTAATGAGAAGAAAACAGCGTGACATAGCAGAAAAACGAGGGTTTGCCATTGGTCCATACCGTAAATGGCATAGATCTGAGTCCAATCTCTGCTACTATTGCTTTTTCCCATAGTCCTATTTCTACTCTTTTTTCTTCTTGATCTAAGCAAAACTGAGAAAAAAGCAGCTTGAAATATAAAAAAATGGAGCACTTGAAACAATCAAGTTCGCTTTCTTTTTGTTTTCCTTGGTGGGTTTTTTGTTGAATTACTTGATCAATCAAATCAGATCATGTGTTCGAAGAAAAATCTTTGGGTTGATCCAAGAAATGACCACTGAAAAACAGAGAAAAGAAATGGCAGAAATGCTCTAGGAAAACAAGGAAGATCAGAGAAGAAGAAAGGGTCATATCATATCATCCATATAGATTAGAAAAGAGAGGAGAAGGAAGACAAACGGATCATGATTTATAGTGGTAAAAAATCTGCAAAAATGTCAGTAGTGGCATTCCTGGATAAAATGAGCATGATCTCATTTGCAACCAACGATTTTCTTTTTCTTTTTTTTTTTAATAATTTTCACGCGCTTTCGAGGTCTGGGTTAATTTGAATTTTATAGGGAAATGAAAAAAAAAAAAAAAAAGGAAAAATTTTGTAAAAAAATTGAATGAATTTTGAGTTTAAAAATCTAGTGGAAAATGTACGGAATTTTTAAAGAGAAAAAGATAGAAAATGAGAGAGTAGTTGGTGAGTGGGATACTGGTACGATACATATACAACTTTTTTTAAGTAAAAGGGATAAAATGGAAAATTTCAAAATAAGACGGTCGTCGGAAGACATTTTAAGCCGGAAATTTGACTTTTTCATTTTTTTTTTCTTTTTCAATGTTAAGTGGAAGAGTTTGAAATCTAATGGCGCCGCCGTGATTTTTTTTTTATTTAAAAATGTTTTATTCTCTTTAAATAAAAACCATGTAATAATAATTTAAACTTAATTTAAAAAAATGATAAAAGGATTTTTACCGCGTCAAAGCTAGTCGTTTTATTATTGGATTTTTAATTTTTAAAAATTCAATGATAAAATAACACTTCCAATGCGATAAATTTTTTTTATTTAAATGAAAGTTTAGTCAATTGTTTGAATATTTAATATTGTAATTAAAGAGAAAAATATTTTTATATAAAATTTTAATTTAATTTAACATTACTATCATTTATATGAAAAGTAAAGGATTTAAATTTGAAAACCATTTAAAAATTTAATTGATTAAGATAATTTTCTATTTTATTTTTTTAATTTACATGCTTTACACATATGACAAGTAAAAACTGACTTCTAAAGAAAATATTAGGTCATCATACGTTGATAGTAATAAGGAAATAAAAGATGGAGTAAATAAGAAGCTTTGATGTATAGATTTGATAACAAGGCTTGATGTTGAATGAAATGAAATGAAATGCAATAATTTTGGTCATTATCTTCCCTTGATATCATAAATATTTTTCATTTTTCATGGAAAAAATATGACCGACAATAAACAATGCAAAATTTGAGATTCTTCTTTGACATTTGCAAGTATAGAACACATCCAAATGGCGTTTTGGTCTTTTAGATTATTCTTTTTTATTTTATACTCCAAGTTGGAGTTGGTCTTTTTTTTTTTTTTTAATTGGGATAACTTTACTCATGTGAATGATTCAAATTTATCACTAATTTTTCAATTGGTTTAATTTTACCATTATATTTTTAATTTTGAAGGAAATTTATCATCGTATTTTTAATTTTGAAGCAAATTTGATTAAGATATGACAATTGGAAAATATTTTGTAGAATATTTTGATAGAAATAGTTTTATAATTAAAATTCTTGAAAATAACATGACAGGAAAAGAACACCAAGACCAACGGAAAATATATGATGTGATATTATATTTAATAAAAGAATATTATGATGCAAAAATAACAATAAAATAATAAAATAAGTTTTGGATCATGTGGCATTATATATTTAGTAAAAAATACCTTAATAGAAGAAGAAAAAAAAAAAAAATATATATATATATATATATATCCACACGAGTTAATCTAAATGGTAAAAACATGAGTTTTACCTATATATCGGCAAAGGTTTGATCCTTATGAGAGATGTTTTAAAATTGAAAATTTGAATTTGCACCTTATTGAAAATTTAATTGTTTGGTCAAAAATTTGTTCTTAATTAGGGTGATCCAAAGGCAGATTCAATTGTTTAAGGTAAATCTAATATATATGCCTTCATGATCCTAAAAATATATGCATCATGTAAAAAAGTTGAAGTTGTACAATTGTAATCTATGTGTTGGATACAATTGTAATCTATGTGTTGGACTTTTAATTTTAATAATAGAATTCAATCAATTACAATCTCAATTATGCAAAAAATATAATATATAGTATATCCACTTGAGTTAACCCAAATTAATATGACATGAGTTCTACCTCTATATCAACAAAGGTTTGATCATTGAAAAAATACTTTAAAATTAAAATTTTAAATGCATCAAACTAATAACAATTTGACATAAAGAATGCACCTTAAAATTATCTAAAAAATTATATTAAATTCAAGCAAAACATGAAAATACTCCTAGTTATATTATCAATATATGGCTCCGTTTGTTTCGTGAAAAATGACTTTAGAAAAATAATTTTCATATTTTAAGATATTTGTTTGGCAAAAAACTAACTATTAAAAGAAAATAATTTCCTAATCAATGAAAAATAAGCTCATTTTTTTGTAAATTGTCTTATGAATTTGATAAAGAGAAGACATTTTTTGAAAAAAAAAAAAAAAGCTAACTATAAGTAAAACTATTTATTAATATTTTTTAGTAGAATTTTACTTGTAAATAATATTATATAAATAATATATTATTAAATAATATTAATAAGTAATATTATAATATATTAAATAATATTATTATATTAATAAACAATGTAATAATAAGTATTATTAATTTAATTAATAAATATTATTAATAAATAGTATTATAACATATTAATAAATAACATAAAGAATAATAAATAGTTTTATTTTAAGTATTTTTTAAAGTAACATAATATTTTAATATTAAATATTATTATTAAAATATAATTATTTTTTAATATTAATAATTTTAATAATAAATAATTTTAATATGTTTTAATAATAAATAATTTTTAATATTTTAATAGTTATATTAATGTTATGTGAAAAAAACAACGAAAAATATTTTTCATTAACTTATCCAAATAATAAAAAATCTCTTTTAATTAAAAAAATATAAATATTTTTTAGAAATAATTTTTAAAAATTATTTTTTGTGAAACAAATAGAGTATATGTATATATATATATATATATATATTCATAACAATATTACCAATATACATTTCAATCTTTGATCTTAGAATCCCAATTTCACCATAAAAGAACTTCTAACATATCTTAATTATAATTACAAAATTCTAAAAAGTGGAATAGACGATGATATTAATAATAAAATTGTCTATTATCTAACATTTGAATTATTTGATATATCATTAAAGTTATCATTTAAATATTATAAATTTTAAAAAAAATTCATGCAAGTAATGTATTCTTTGATCAAAATAAATATTAAGATTGAAAATCTAAGAGTAAATTAAAATTTTCAAAAAAAAAAAAAATCACCCAGTTGCATGCCAATTAGAGTCCGCAAATCATGGAATGGGATGATCTTTATTTTTAGATTTTTGACTAAAGGAATCCACTTCACCACTCACTATTCAATAGTTGAACTGTTCCCATAATGCAAGACAACGAAGTGAAAGTTTTTATTCACTAGGTTTTTTTAATTATGTTTCCTAATTTGCCCTAAGAAGGTTTCATAACATGCCCATAGAAAAGCTTGTTTAGATGCTCACGTTTGCCACACGCTTGTCCACCAAAAGACAAGCATGTCCCTATTGTAAAGTTGAAGCAGAATGCATTTTATTTTTTATATTTTCATAGGAGGATCGTAGATTTAGATTTATTAAAGTAGAATATTTCCATAGCCTTTAATTAAAGAGTTTAGATCCGAAAATTGCATAAGAGTATTGTATAAAAATTGATCAATCAAGTGCATTCATTGGGTCAAGTAACTAAAGTTTAAGAAATTAGGAAACGTGGATTTTTTTTATAAGCTATAATTTAATAATAAAAAAATTATTAATATTAAAATTTAAAATTTAAATTTATTACATATTAATTCTTAAAATCAATTGAACCGGACTTGCATGATGACAACCAAACTTACAACCTAAATTTTTTGCGAACTCTTTATAATCATTGAGCAATGCCTCATCAATTAAATTATCTTGAATATATAATTAAGATTTTGACGTGTTCAAGATTAAGCCTTTCTAAACTTGAGCCACATAATTTTCTTTCAGAAACAATTATAAAGATTTACAGTCCAAAATTTTAAATATATAAATATAAATTATAACCCCTCATCCAAATTTCAGTGCTCGTAATTTTTGTTTCAATTCTTGTGATATTGTCTCATAGTATTAAAAATAAAAGATAATAGAAGAAAGGGTGTTTTGGTCACACGATTGAAGGCCAAAAATGTAAATTTTTAATTTTATATTGTCTCAAACAATATGAAATTCCAAGCATCCAATTCTGAGCAGAACTAAATAGGATGGATCCATTTCCACAAAAAGCAGAGGAGGAGAACGCGGGAATGACAGACGAAAGTGACAAGTTAATGGTGAGTCGAGGCAAGGCACCATGTTTGGGTTTTTCCTTTGACGATTTTGCCAATTTGCTAGCAGGGTCTACGTCAGTACGTACGTGAAACAGCAAAGCACCCACCGACTTGCTTTCAAAACCCAACCAAAAGTACAAATAGGATTCCATACTTTAAAATAAAAACATCTATGCCTCTTGTTTTTATGGTCACTTGATTTTTTGTTCTTCATTTTATTTAACATACATTTTGACTAATTAATCACCCAATCAGCTATTAAATAAGTTTTTATTACGAGTGAGTAAAGATTAACATTTAATTTTATAGTTATAATATTTTTTATAATATAATGTGTGCTTTTTCATATAATTATAATATATTTAAAATTTTACTTTTAAAACATTTTTCATAAGAATTGAATGCTAATGGAGAAAGAGTCAAGTATTGATATTTCATGTTGTGTTTTTGCATGATACAAAATATTGATACATTTTATTTATGTTGGGAAAAAGATGGTTTTGTTTGATAATTTTTTCTTCTATTGAATTGACTTTGAAATATGGAGTCATTTTCTTTAAATGCTATTCACATATAGCCACTTGATATAGATATGGATAAAACCATAACTAAAAAAGAAAATGACCCATTACCATACTCTTGGATGAGTGTTGTTTTAGTGAATGAAACATGAGATTATAGAGGATATAAAGTATCCTACTCAAGTAATATGAAATTATAGATGATATAAATAGTATCCTACTCAAGTAATGGTTTTGGCAATGAAGATCTTAATAGATTCTAGGACTAGGATCAATTATTCAACTTATTCAGGCATATAT